CGGATCATTTTCTATATAATTGAAGCGTTAGGTTTTTAAAGATGCAAAGTACAATGCTAGATGAGTTTATTATTGGCCAATAGTAATATGATATAACCCTGTCGGCTCACAGCTCCACGATCGGCACCGAAGCTTTAAGCTGAGCCGCTTTTAGAGCCGATGCTTTATTAGTAGGCCTAGAGCTGAGCCGTTAACCGGCTCGGCTTAGCCGTTCGGCTCGCGGCTCGGCTCGAACCGTTCACATCACTAGCTATACTGCAAAATTTTATTAATCCAACTACTTTTGTGTCTTAAATAAAAAATGTTCCTGATCTTATTTTAAATTAATTTATGTAAAAAAATCAATTTTAAAAAATTGTTCAATTTCCCCCTTTTTGCAGCACCAAGCCCAAATATAAGTTATTGATGAAAAACTTTCAACTATTATCACGAAATCACGGGGTCATACCTTTTTGCAAACCGCCATAAGATGCGAAATTTTCTATTCGTGCAATAATTATAAGGCGTTCCTTTTATTTGTGAACAATTAGTAATTTTTGAATTTATAGATATATCTATTAAAAAGAGGTATATTAAATGCCGGCCATTCATTCTTGATTCACATTGTATTAAAATTTCATATCAATTGTTGAGACGATTAAATACTAATATGTATAAAGATACTTTAAACAATTGTAATGAAATAGTAAATAAATGGCTATATGCCGTGATTGCTAATTTGCTAATTTTACTATTTTTACTAATGATTTTTGCTAGCTACTTCGACTATTAATTGCTGGGCACTCTGCCTTACCCTAAATCTAACCTGGATGCTGTTTGTTTTTGTTTTGAGGTGGCAATGCATCGCACTGGCGATGAATGATAATGATAATTTTATTTTTAAAATACATTTAATGCAGTTACTTCAAAATTTAATATTATACATTGTATTTTATGTGATAAATAATAACAGATAAATATATTTTTAAATTATCTATTTGAGAAGTATCCTTTGTTATAATAGAAGCAAACATACTTCAAAACATTACTTAAAAATTATATTAGCAAGCTATAAAGTTTATTTAAGCATAAATCATATTTATATAACTGATTTTGACCAACTCGAATCATTACTTTTTAACATTTGATAATTAAAGAGTATAGATGCAGACTTATTCACTGATCGAATATATAAAAATCGACTTAGTCGAATGTTAATAAATATCGATCTGAAAAAAAAAAAAACCTAAAATCGTCTATATAAAAGAAAATCGACCCAATTTTGCACTAGTTATCCGACTTTTTATATGATGTGAATTTTTTTGTATTGGGCATACGAAAATAACAGGAAATTTTTTTCATCAGAGTTTATTACACGTACAGCACATGAAATCTTATTTGTGAAAAATTTTGCGAACTTGTATACATTTAAAGATTTACACAAAAAATTTCTTCGATTTTAATTTTTCTAACTATCGACTATATTTTTAATTATCAACCAAAAATCAGATGTTGATTCCCCTCCGAATTGTTATAAAATATCAGAGATAGAATTGCATATATTTAACCAGTGTATCACGTCACTAGTTACGGCTCAATTGCGGGCTATTTTATAAACCGTATATTAAAAGTCAAAGTAACGTGCCTTCCATCGTGTGAATTTCCAGAATTGAATAATTATATTTCGAGTCTCAATATAAATAACTTTTTTAATTGCTTTAAATTGAATTTTAAATTATAAAAATATTCTTAATATAATTTCAAAGATGACTGAGCGCAAAATTGCGATACCAATAGAAGAATCATCTGATACAAAGCTTGATCCGACAGAAGAACGAATTTTAAAGGATCAAATTAGTTTCACTGAAAGAAAAGAATCATATACTACTTTATATCGATTCGCTACCAAACTTGACTGGATAATAATGTTTATTGGATTGGTATTTTCAGCGGCCACAGGCGCTGCCTTGGTATATGCTTTATATTTCTCTTACTGTGCGATTTATATTTCAAAAATTCTTAATTTATGATATTCTATGTAATTTGGCAGCCTGTCTTAACAATCCTTTATGGAATAATTGTCGATTATTATACCGAGTTTCAAACCCATACAATAAGCTCTAATGAATTTTCTGAAGGAGTAATCTACTTTTCGTTAATTTCTGTATATTTCGGAATTGGCGTGTTTGTTACTACGTATATATCCGTGTCTGCCTGGGTATATACTGGTGAAAGGTGTTTGTTTTTAATATAATCTTACGTAAAAGTTGTCAAGTTGTTGATCACTAATTTCGTCACATGATCGGCTTTATTTTAGAATTGCACGACAAATCCGTGAACAGTATTTTCGCGCAATTCTTAGACAAAATATAGCTTATTTTGACAAATATGGCTTAGGTGAAGTTACTACTCGCATTACTTCTGATGTACACTTGATACAAGATGGTATCAGCGAAAAAGTCGCTCTCGCTTTTCAAGTGAGCACACACACATATATATATATTATTTTTAATTATTATTTATTTTTCTTTTACTATCATGCTTACATATTAGAATTTTATACAATTTGTTTCATCACTCATTATTGCGCTTTTTATAAGTTGGAAAATGACTCTCGTGATCGGCTACCTTATCCCTTTTCTTACTATCAATAGTTGTTTAATGAATAAATTTGGCGCGATTTTTACGAAAAGAAGTTTGGATTTTTATTCTCAGGCAGGAATAATCGCTGAAGAAACTATTTCAACCATCAGAACTGCAGTGGCTTTTGGTACTCAAAAGGCACTATCTAACCTTTACGATACTTACTTAGCTGATGCAAGAAAAGAAGCGTTTAAAAAATCTTTGTTTAATGGTTTTGCTATTGGCATAATGTACTTTTGCATCGCTGCAACTCATGGTTTAGCATTCTGGTATGCTTCCACATTGATTATTAATAATGAATTATCTCCCGGACAAGTACATGTTTCTTTTTTTTTTTCTGATATTAATTTATTTGAAGTCACCGTTTGATCATCTCTTTTTTTATTTTATTTTATTTTTTTTAAGGCCATCAATTTATTCTTAACGTTTTTATATGGCACTTTCTGCCTTACCTATTTTTTTGTCGACATTCAAGCTCTTAACCTTGCCGCTGGTGCTGGTTCAAAAATATTTGAAACTATTGATCGTGTTCCCTCGATTGATATTGCTTCTGATACCGGAGATAAGCCTGAAAATGTTGTGGGTTATATTCAACTTAAAAATATAAATTTCGTTTATCCGACTCGCCCTGATGTTAAAACTTTGAATGATGTATCATTTGACGTTGAACCCGGCTCTACTGTTGCTCTAGTTGGTTCCTCAGGTTCTGGTAAAAGTACTATTATGTCTCTCATACTTCGCTTCTATGATCCTATTTCTGGTGGTGTATTTCTCGACGGACGTGATATTAAATCTCTTAATTTAACTTGGCTTAGAAGACAAATAAGTCTTGTAAATCAAGAGCCTGTACTTTTTAAAGCTACTATAGCTGAAAATGTATCTTATGGATTGGTCAGTTCTATTTATGAAAATCTATCTGACAATGAAAAACGTGAAATGATTGAAAATGCCTGTAAGATGGCTAATGCTCACGATTTCATTATGAATTTTCCTGATAAATATGAAACTATGGTTGGTGAACGTGGAGCTTTATTATCGGGCGGTCAAAAACAACGTATCGCGATTGCTCGTGCTATTATTAAAGATCCAAAGATTTTGTTACTCGATGAAGCTACTAGTGCTCTTGATACACAAAGTGAGGATATCGTTCAAAACGCGTTGAATAAAGCCTCAAAGAACCGCACAACGATAATTATTGCCCATCGTTTGTCCACCATTCGTAATGCGACAAAGATTATTGTAATGAATAAAGGCGTTATTGTGGAATCGGGTACACACAAAGAGCTCATGTACAAAAAAGGTTTTTATTCTAAACTTGTTGAAATTCAACAGATTCAATCTTTAGAATCTTTAGAAGCTGAAGAAAACCTTAATAGATTGAATTCATTTATAACTCCGCTGAAAGATGATGTTACTGAATCATTCACTATCAAGGATGAAGATCACAAGTATTTATTGTCTTCTCATTTGAATCAAAAATCTGATATTGAAATGGGATTAGAACATCATTTTACTGCTTGGGAATTGATCAAAAAAGTAGCGTCCATCAATAAACCTGAATTTTCTACGCTTTCCATAGGTGTAATAGCATCAATCATTTGTGGTAAGTGAAAAAAATCCATGGTAACCCTTTACGAAACGGAAAAAAATCTAAACTATTTTAAATTCTAGGTTGCATTTACACGGTTTCTGCTGTTATCCTTGCTAATATTGTTCAAACATTCTCAGAAACTGGAAATACTTTACGTCATGATGCAACTTTCTGGTCTCTTATGTTTCTTGGACTTGCTGTGATAAACTTTTTCGCGTATTTTATTCAAAATGTTGCACTTGGATTTTCAAGTGAAAAGCTTACCGAACGAATCCGATCTATGTCTTTTTCTTCTATTTTACGACAAGATATTTCCTTTTTTGATGATGAAAATCATGGTGTGGGTGTTTTGACTAGTCACTTATCATTAGATATAACTCATATTAATGGTTTGGCTGGTTTTAGACTTGGAAATATATTACAAGTACTGGCTTTGATATTTGTTTCCGTAATAGTGGCTTTTATAGCTGGTTGGAAGTTCACTTTGGTCTGTTTATGTTGTGCACCTTTAATGATTGGTGCTGGATTATTGCATATAAAAATGATAAGTGGTTTTCATCAAAAATCTAAGAAAGCTTATGAATATTCTGCCCAAGTAGTTTGTGAAGGTGTTGATAATATTCGAACGGTTGCTGCTTTTACTCGTGAAGATGATTTATGGAGAATATATCATAATTTACTAGATGAACCCATGCGCCAAGGTATTAAAAATGCTTTATTAGGCTCCATTACCTTTGCTTTCTCAAACAGTATGTACCTTTTAGTAGATGCTTTAACATTTTGGTATGGTAGTAAATTGTTTATGGACGATGAATATGATCTTTTAAAAACGTTTACGGTTCATAACACCATTATAATGGGATCATCATTTGCTGGTCGTCTCCTTGCTTATGCTCCAGATATGGCCAAAGCAAAATCTGCATCTGCCACCATAATATCATTATTAGAACGTGTTCCTATAACTGATACATGGTGTCAAAGTGGTGAAAAGTTTAAAACTGTCCAAGGTCACCTTAAATTTTCTGATGTCCATTTTCATTATCCGATTCGATCTAGTGTTCCAGTTCTTCGAGGTTTAAATTTAGATGTCAAACCCGGTCAATACGCGGCATTAGTTGGCCCATCAGGATGTGGTAAAAGTACTATAATAAGTCTTATTGAAAGGTTTTATGAAGTGACGAGTGGTGAAATTACAATTGATGGATTAAATATTGCTAAAATGAATGTGAACAATCTTCGAGAGCACATTGCTCTTGTAAGTCAAGAACCATCTTTGTATGATATGACTATAAAGGACAATCTTTTTCTCGGTTGTCGACCTGGACAAAATATTACTCAAAATGATATAGAAAAGGCATGTCAGGAAGCAAATATTCATGAATTTATTGTTAGGTTACCTAAAGGTTATGATACATATGTTGGTAAACGAGGAATACAACTTTCTGGTTATTATCTTAAATATTTATTATACAGCTTTTTTTTTTTTTTTTAAGAGTTCTAAATAACATTATTACCATTACTAAAAACTCGTTTTTTCTTTCAGGCGGTCAAAAGCAACGAATTGCTATTGCCAGAGCACTTATTCGAGACCCAAAAATTTTATTACTTGATGAAGCAACATCAGCTTTGGACTCGGAATCAGAAAAGGTTGTACAAGAAGCTCTTGATGTTGCTGCTCGTGGGAGAACAACCTTAGCAATTGCACATAGATTATCAACAATTCAGCATGCTGATGTTATATTTGTTATAAAAGATGGTAAAGTTCATGAACAAGGCACGCATAAAGAACTATTAAAACTACAGGGAATTTATTATATGATGGTACAAGAACAACACTTGGGAGAATTGAATTGAATTTATGAAGATGAAAGTATATATTGTATAATAATTTTTTCATTTATGTTTATTTTAATCACTAAAATAAATTATCCTTTACCTTGCACCTATTAATCTTATTTTTAAAAAATTTATTTAAATGCTTATAAATGTGTTGAGAGAGAGCATCACGCTTAATGATGCGAATTATCTCGACAGAAGTTCATTTATTAATAATCGTTAAATATTAATGAGAAGATATCAATCATATGACTTATTAATTAGGATTCGATTATGTTATTACTTTTTGGTTATTAAAGAAAAAGGGAAATTTGATATAAGAGCCCGAAAAATGAAAATATGTAATTACAATTAAGGGCTCGAAGTGAAAATAATTACATCTAAGGGCTCAAATTTTAAAAAATTTTACAATTAAGGGCCAAAATAATTTTGCGTTATGATGATAATGGTTCTTTGAACGTTGTCACTGTATATATGAATTACTTTATACATGTTATGCTATATCCTTTTATTTAGTGAACCTTTTTTTCAACCAAGATACAATTCAGCTAGGATAAGCATGATATTTATCAATCTTGTAATGTTTATTCGCTTCTAAATTAACATATATCTATTCCGAAACTAGTGAATCATATTTTGCGAAAGTTACTATACGTTAATCGAAGATATTTAGAACTGCAAAACTCATTTTTATTTGTAGAAAAATTTAAAACTTGGCAAAGTAGTTGTAATTTTTACATGCAAGACTTTAAGAAAATAAGTGCAATACTGATTAAAAGGCAATAAACCGTCAAAATTTTTTTTTTGAATGTTAAAACTTTCAATTTAATTAGTTACGATGAATTTGGACCCTCAATTGTAATATTTTCAAATTTTGGACCCTTATATGAAATTATTTTAACTTTGGCCCTGATTTGTAATTATTTTCATTCTTGGCTCTTATATGTAATTTCCCCAAAGAAAAATATCTGCGTTTACATATTTTATTTATGTTATTTCATAGCATTGTAATCTTTATATGTAATCACACAACTCTACAGTATCTCAAAAAATTTTTATTTGATATGACCTAATATTAATATAGCGAACATTGGTTTATAGCGAAGAATTTTTGGAACAGATAATTTTCACTTAATTATATTGTAATTTCTTGGTGTATAAAAAGTTTTTTTTTTAAAAAAAATTAATACTTTTTCAAATTTAATTTACAGTTTATATGTGATAATTCTCTTTATAATAATTAAAATGGGCTAGGTGTTGGAAAGAGGGACAAAATTGACAATTTTTTCAAAAGAAACTTTATTTACATAAATCAGTTTAGAATAAGGTTAGGATCATTTTTCACTTAAAACACAAAAGTAGTTGTATTAAATTTCGCATTTTCTTATATTATTATTTATGAAATAACAATTAATTTTCCGAATTTTTTTTTTTTGTCAATTTCTGCATCTAGCCAAATATTCATTACGATATTAGATAATTAATCTTAATCAACTTTAATTATTATATCAGATTTAAATACTCAGATTAAATATAGCATAGCTTACCCCTTAATAAAATCTTTAAAAATCTTTAAATTAATTATTATATATTATACTATAATCTTTTAAATTAGCTTTTTAATATTGATTAAAATATTAATTATAATATAAATACAATAAAATAATCATATAAAATTAGTGAGTTAAATAATTTTTTAAAAGGGTAACCTATACTATATTTGATCCAAATACTTTAATGTTTTTGCAAAGCGTTCTGTTAATACTTCTGCATTCTTAGATCTCATAAATATCCAAAGGAATTACTGTATAATGTTTTATGCAAACAGCTGTAACTAATGTTCCGATCCTAAATCCGAATATTTGATTGACACTCGGATTGGTCAAAAAAAATAAGAACCTAAGGATGTGCCCAAAGCTGGGTCTGGGTTATAGTTGTGACCCGAAACCCGAAACCTTTCCGAAACCTTCATAAAAATTAATAAAAAACCCTCTTGGAATACAATCTAATTATCATATACTTCAAATTTTAACTTTTCAGGATAGTGTTCGAGTTTCAGAAAAGGTTTCGGGTTTCGGGTTCGGGTCACAACTATAGTCTGGGTCAAATTCCGATAAGTTAGCCAGCATTAGTCGCAATTTTGTCGATATTTTGTTTACCGGGTTCTGTTTTGTCGAGATTTAACCTGGGTAATCTCGTGACATGCCTGACCTTAGACAGTCTCGTGTAATTTTTCTTCTACGTATATTATCTCTATTTTTCATTATGCAAATCGACTTTCATTTATAATTGAAAATGTCAATCATGTCAAAATTTACATAAATTTAATAAATCCCATTTTTCGAAAATTGTAAAAATGGGCCCTTTTAATACAAGACACCCCATATATCAATCCCCATATATCAATTAGGTTGATCAGATTTCTGCAATTGCAGTTGGAATTTGAAAATCCACAGTTAAATAATGTTTTATGTTGGTTTACTTTTAATCAATTATTCGAATTTGATTATTATTTAAATGCAATGCATACTTCTGTACTTGACGAGTAAACACTGCATAACTAGGAAACTGTATAGCTAAAAAATGATAGATCAGGTTTAGTGATTTGAACCGAGAAAAATTTCCTTAATCGGTTAACCGAACCGAATTATTTCATTCAACCGATTGCCAACCG